AATAGTCCCCATACTATGTCTGGAATCTTTTTTGACTATTTTGAGGGTGTTTTTTAGTTTTTGTCGTAAATCCCCCTGTAGGGGGACACGCCCGACTTAATTGTAGGTCCAGCCCGGTTCATCATTGTCTGCGTCGTCTTCCGGCTCCCTCCACCGCGACCTCCGAGACAATCATGATGCCCCCCGCGGCGCTGGCCAGCGCGGGGGGGTCGAGGGCTTCGCTCCGGGAGGACCCCATCCACATGATGAAGGTCGCGACAAAGGATGAGGAGGAGGAGGAGGAGAAGGACGAGGAGGAGGAGGTGAAGGAGGAGAAGGAGGAGGAACAGGACGAGGACGAGGACGAGGACGAGGAGGAGGAGGAGGAGGAGGAGGAGGAAAAGGAGGAGGAGGACGCAGCGGGCCTTGATCTTATGGGGCCTGGTTCAGGGATGTGTACCGGGGGCGCCCGCCCGGCCCAGTCCACGAACCGGAGCTGCCGCCACCCACGGACACACCAACTGCGGCAGACCTGTAGAGGCCTCTTAGATGGGGTCCGAGTAGGTGGGGTCGGAGGATCTCACCGCATCACCGATACATCGGCGATGCATCGCCGATGCATCGGCCATGCACTGGCGGCGTCGGCGATGCATCGGCGACGTCCGCGAGAAGAGAATCGGGCTCCGCATCGCACCGCATCAGCGATGCATTGGCGATGCGCTGCGATCCTCCGACCCCATCTACTCGGACCCCATCTAGGAGGCCTAGAACCTGGTGAGGCGATTCTGGCTATTTTTGTGGTGGACTTCGGGGCCCAATTACCAACCGGCGTCCCCTACCCGGGGACCTGGCTATGCTTGAAAATTTTCCTCAAGCGCGATCACGAGTGACTCGCGACGGCGTTGCGTACCCAAACAACCAGGCCTTGAACTCCGAACCAAGACAACACCGGCCTCAGAGAACGACGGACCACCGTCGCCCCTTGCAATGCGTGGCCACGCCGTTCACCTAGGATGGAAACCAGTCAGGCAATCCGACTGCCCCAACAAAGGTCATCCGAACGGTCAGAAAAAACTGAGCGGGGTACCCTTGGGAAGGTTGCCCGTCCTTACCATGCGGGTTGACTGTAACTCGGGGGCCACCAAACGGTGCAGTGACCACACCGTGCGGTGAGTCGGTGGGGATTCGGGGTCACCGCACGGTTTTGGGACTCGAGTCGTTCTCCGAGGACGTCTCAGGCGACAGGGGCCTCCGAGGTCCCAGGACCGTGCGGTGACGGACCGTGCGGTGAGGTCTGAGGGGATTTCGAGGTTACCGCACGGTCTGTCACCGCACCGTTCTGGGACTCCCGAATAACGTCGGCCCCCAGAGGTCTCGACCCGTTCCCCGGGACCGGCTCTTCGTTCCGAGGCGCTCTTGGACGATCCCGAGGCCCGGCACGGGCCCCCCCCCGAGGCCGACGAGCAGAAAGCAGCACCCCCCGCCGCGAGGGGGGGGGCTGGGCCGCGATGTGCCACAGGCCCCCTCCAAAACTCGGGGGCGCGCAGACATGGATTATTAGCGATCCATGGATTTTTGGCGCGCAGTCGAACCAAACACACGGATCGGGGGAGGTGCCCCCCCCCCAAAATGTGGCCGGCGCCGCCCCGCTCGGCGGCGAAAGCCGCGATCTCGGGACCCGTCGCCAATCCACGCCCCCTGGATCCATGTCTGCGATCGCCTGAAGCAACTAACTGCCGATCTCCGTCTCTGTGTCTGCCGTTAAGTCGGGCGTGTCCCCCTACAGGGGGATTTTGGGCGAAAATAATAAATCCTCAAAAAATACCCCCCAAATGCTAAAAAAAACAACCCATCGATCCATGTCTGCGATCCCCTGACGCAGCCGACGACCGTGGCCCCCGACGACGCGCACGACGAGCACGACGACGGGCAGGCCGCGCACGACGAGCACGATCCCCGAGAGGCCCTGCCCGGACCCCCCCCGAGGCCGACGAGCAGAGGGCAAAACCCCACGCCACGCAGGGGGGGGGGTCTGCGCCGTTATCTGCCGCGGGCGACCCCCGAAGCCGACGACGCTGGCCCCCGACGACGCGCACGACGCGCACGACGGCGGGCTGGCCGCGCGACCGCAGCGCCCGCGGAGGCGGCGGGGCGCCACGGCGCGGGGGCCCGCACCTGCGGCGGGAGGGCGCGCGAGCACCACGGCGCGCGCCCCACTTCCCCCCCGCGCCCTCCCCCCCCGTCCTCCTCCTCCGCCTCCTCCTCCTCCTCCTTCTCCTCCTCCTCCTCCCCGCTCTCCTCTGCGTCCATCCCTCCTCCTCCTCCTCCTCCGAGATGAGGAAGATGAGGCTGGTAGGCGCGAGCCCGACCCAGAGGCAGATTTCTTTTTGGGGGGGTATCCTGTCGGTGGGCCCCGCACGAGATGGCGCCCCTCGCGCGGGGAACAAAAAGGCCTCCTCGGATGGATATCCTTTTCCCGTTGTCCCTCTCTCCCCCCGGACTCCCTCCTTCGGTCGGCTGCTCCTAATCCTTCTCCTCTTCCTCTTGTTCCTCCTCCTCCTCCTCCTCCTCCTCCCCGTTCTCCTCCGCCTCCACCCCTCCTCCTCCTTCTCCCCCTCCTTCTCCTCCTCCTCCTCCTCCTCCTCCTCCTCCTCTCGTCCTCCTCCTCCTCCTCCTCCTCCTCCTTCTCCTCCTCCTCTCCTCCTCCTCCTCCTTCTCCTCCGCCTCCTCCTCCCCCTTCTCCTCCTCCTCGTGAGTCCTCTCGTCCTCCGCCCCTCCTCGCCGCTCGCCCTTCCCCCGCCGCCTCCCATCCCACTCGTCCACTCCTGCCCGCCTCCATCCGCCTCCCCCTTATAAACAAATCCCCATTGTCGCACACCCCAAACGTGTTGGCAGGGCGGGATGTGCCTTTCGCCAGCCACGCCCTCACCAACAATGATGCCGAAGCCTGAAAGCCGCAACTGCTTCACGGATGGAGGCGGCTCCTTTTCAAAATGTGGCTCTCGCCTTTAGCGCCGCGCGCCTTGGTCGCAAAAACCTGCATCGGCTTCGGGGATGGAGGGCGGCTTCTGTTCAACAGTCTGTCTCCCCCCCTAGCCCCCCTGGGATCGCGCCACAGGAACGGACCAAAATGATCGGCCCTCCTTCTGGGGCCCCAAACCTCTCAAACCTATGAACATCAGCGAATTCGGCCTTTTGGGCCTCCGGGGACTCCAAGAAGGCCTCAAGATGGCCCAAGACGGCCCCAAGACGGCCCAAGACGGCCCCGAGACGGCCCAAAATATCCCCAACGGGGGCCCAGGAGGCCCCCAAGACGGCCCCAAGAGGACCCCAAAAGCCCCAAGGACGGCCAAAGAGGGCCCCAAGAGCGCCCGCACCTGCGCCCCCAGAGGCCGAAATCATTGATTGATCTATGGTTTTTGCAATAATTTAGCGTTCTCGCATTTTTCGTCTCGCAAAAACCCATGACGGCCCAAGCAGCTTCCATAATCGCCCCAGAACATACCAAAAAAACACCAAGAGGGCCCCGAGACGGCCCAAAAGGGCCCCAAAACGGCCCAAAGATGCCCCCAAGACGGTCCAAGAGGCCACGAAGACGGCCCAAGAGGACCCCAAGAGGGCTCCAATGCGGCCGCGAGAGGCCCCCCAAGAGGCCCCAAAGAAACCTCCAGGTGGAAATTTGTCACTGCGGCGCCCATGATTAGAGCCGGCGCCGAAGGGAAGATGGGGAGGGTGTATGAAAAATGAGGGAGGGGGGAAAGGCCCCCCAAACAACCCCAAGAGGCCAAAAGAAACTCCGAGGAGGCCTCCAGGAGGCCCCCAAGAGGCTCCCAAGAGGCCCCGCGACGACGTGACTGTACGTGCTCCGGACGTGCACCCCGCGAAGCAAGAGGAATCCACGTCCGGAAGTGACGTGCTGAGCGGCAGCGTTTTCTGCGAAGGCGATAATGCAACGTATCCAATGTATTCCATGTTTAAATAATTGGCACATCTTGTATTGTGTTGCGTGTTTATGTATCCCCCTCTAATCCCCCCCTGGAGCCGCGCCACATGACCGTACCAAACTGGCCCCCCCCCTACGTGGGGCGAAAACACGTACCAAATCGCATGGAAAATATGAAATCGGCCTCCAGGGTCTGGGACCCCACGAAGGCCTCAGGACGGCCCAAAATGGCCCCAAGACGGCCCCAAGACGGTTCAAGATGGCCCCAAGACGGCCCATGAGCCCCCCATTGGTGTTTGAAAGATGTTCGCGTTCTCGCCTCTTTCGGTTCTCAAAGGACCATAACGGCCCAAGCGGCCTCCAGGAATACCTCAAGACGGCCCAAGAAGCCCCCCAGGGGGCCCCAAGACGGTTCAAAAGGGCCCCGAGGCGGCAAAACGAGGCCCCCAAGACGGTCCAAGGTGCCTCGAAGACGGCCCAAGGAGACCCCAAGAGAATCCCAAGGCCTCCAAGATGGCCTCCGAAGTGGCCAGACGGCGCAAGAGCGCCCCAAGACGGCGCAAAACGTCAAGAAGAAGCCCCGGGAGGCCCCAAGGCGGCCCCAAAGACGCCCCAAGAGGCCCCCAAGAGGCTTCCCAGAGGCTCCCAAGAGGCCCCCAGGAGACCGTCCAGAAGCCATGGGGATGGCAGGACGGAGCGGCATGCACGCGCGGCAGCCGAGCAAATCACGCCAACCAACGCCCACACCTTCCACATTTGAAACTCGCACATCGACGATTACCAGTCTGGACCGGCTTCGCGGCGCCAGCTCTGCCCGCCAGCAAGTGGGGCAGAGCAAATCTGCCTTGTCACGCTCGCAGCTGTTCACCGCTTCTCGCATAAACGCTGCCGAGCACCGCGCGCATTTTAAACACTGGCCTCCGAATGGGCCACACGCCGCAAGAGCGCCCCAAGATGGCCCAAGGCGCCCCCAAGAGGCCTCAAGGAAGCCCAGTGCAGAAAAAGCCCCAAGAAGCCTCCAAGACACCTCCAAGAGGCCACAAAGGAGCCACCAAGAAGCACCGCAACGACTGGACTGCACGTGCTCCAGACGTGCACCCCCGCGAGGCGAGAGGAATCAAGAAATACCGATGCCGCTCCTCCCCGGACCTCTCCCGTTTTTTGTTTCCATCCGATGAGAATTCGGCGGCGCGCACAGGGGGGATAGGGGGGGAGGCTTCTCAGGAGGAGGCTGCTTCTCAGAAGGCGCCGGTCTTGCATCTGCAGGCAGGGCCCGCGCCTTCTGAGAGGCAGGGGTGCTTCGAAGAGGCCTCCCCCCTGCCCTATACCCCCCGAGGCGCATCGTACGGCTGCGACGAGGGCCTCCCAGGAGGCCAGAAGGGGGGGGAAGACGGGCGAAGGGTAGCGGTGCACTCAGAGGGCAGAACGTCCACTTCCAGAAGAATCGCCCCGACACGCGAAGCCGTTTCGCAAACGCACCCACAGAGTGAATCGAACAGGGCAGGGCTGTTTAGTAAACGCCCAAGGCCGTCTAGTAAACGTCAGTTGTCGGGTCGGGGTGGTTTTCACCCCTTCAACAGTGGAGGCCAGTCCACAAGACACCCTCAACAAGAAACCCAACCCAGAGACCCCAGGACGCCCATCGTGCTTATCGGTGTGGGGACGTCGCGCTTCCCGCGGCAAAACCGTCGAGACCCGAGCAACCCGGGGCATCCTGGAGGCAAGCGGGGTGCTTCTTGGCATGGGCCTCCACTGTATGGGTGCCTCCTTCTCCTAGACGAGCGCGCTCCACTACTCGCAAAGTAGCTACTTGCAAATGGCCTGGATCCGCCGCGGGGTGGTACGATATATTACATCAAAGCAGACATGTGTTTTCGGACGTTTGCGAGTAGGCGCTTTGCGAGTAGTGGAACGCGCTCGGTGATTCGGGGATCTTCGGACCCGGGTCAATCCAGACCCGGGTCAGCAGGAAGCCAAAAAACTGAAATGCAGGAAAAACAAAAACTGCAACGCAGGTCTTCGCAGACCCGGGTCAACCAGCATGCGCGACCGCCTCGCGGCCACGAGCGGCTCACTGACCCGGGTCAGCTGGAGAATGTCTCCGCAGGATCTGGCGCCCTTGCTGACCCCCGTTTGCATTAACCCCCATCTCTTACAGGGCAGTTGTTGATACATAGGAACTGTAACAAATATGTGATGTTTTAATGCATAACTAATTTATGAATAAATGTATGCATGAACTCATCGTTGTTTTTGATACGAACTCCTGCATTTTTAATACATGATCCGCACACGGAGCATGTATAAAAAAACGGCACTGTATACTGGGGGACGCCGACCCCCCCCCCGTTCCACTAGCCGGAACTGCCGTCACCCGAAAAAAAACCAGCTGCGGCAGACCTGGCTTGGCGATTCTGGCCAATTTAGAAGCTACAGGGCCCTATACTGCTAGCCGGATCCCCTTACCTGGGGCCCTATCCACGCGGAGCATGCATTCAAAAAGGCACTGTAGGCCCCGACTCACCCAGTTCAACACAAGCCCCGGACGGCCGGGGCCCGGCCGCGAAGCCCGGCGGGGCCGCGCCGGGCCGGCGGAGGGCGGCCGTGGGGGAAGTGCAGAGGGGAGGGAGGAGGGAGGGAGGCGAAGGAGGAGGAGGCGAAGGAGGAGGAGGAGGAGGAGGTGCCAGCGGAGGGGAGGAGGCGGAGGAGGAGGAGGAGGAGGAGGAGGAGCGAGGAGGATCGAGGAGGATCGAGGAGGATCGAGGGGGAGGAGCAGGAGCAGGACAGGAGCAGGAGGAGGAGGAGGGAGGAGGAGGAGAGAGAGGAGGAGGGAGAGGAGGAGGAGGAGGAGGTGGAGGGAGGGGAGGAGTCGGAGGCGGAGGCGGAGGCGGAGGCTGAGAGGAGGCGGAGGAGGAGAGAGGAGGAGGAGGAGGAGAGAGGAGGAGGAGGACCGAAGAGGATCGAGGAGGATCGAGGAGCAGGAGGAGAGGAGGAGAAGGAGGAGAAGGTGGGAGGGAGGTCTCGACTCACCCGTCTCTTGAGCCGAGCGGCCTCCTCTGACGAGCAGGCCGGGGCCGGGCGGGGGGGCCCTGCGGCGGTTGGTGCGGGCCCGCGGGACGGCAGCCGGCCCCATCCTGCCGCGCGCCTGCGAACCGACGACGCCTGTCGACGCCGGTGGAGAGCGGGCGGGCTGGGGGGCCGCAGGGGGGCCGCGGCCTGCGGGCGGTGCGCGGGTGAGCCAGGCTGGACGGGGCCTCCCCTCCTACCTCCTCCTCCCTCCTCGTTCCTCCTCCTTCCTCCTCCTCGTCCTCCTCTCCTCCTCTCCTCGTCCTCCTCCTCCTCTCCTCCTACCTCCTCCTCCTCCTCCTTCCTCCTCCTCCTCCTCCTCCCCCCTCATCCTGTTTCCTCCTCCTCCCCCCTCCTCCTGTTCCTCCTCCTCCACCTCCTCCTCGTCCTCTCGTCCTCCTCCTCGTCTCACTCCTCCTCCTCCTCCTCCTTCCTCTGTCCTCCTCGTCCTCTCCTCGTCGTCATCGTCGTCGTCTCCTCGTCTCTTCTCCTCTTCCTCCCCTTCGTCGACGTTCTTGTCGCCTCGTCCTCTTCTGTCCCGATCCTGTCCTCGTTCCTTCGTCCTCGTCCTCCTCCTCCTAACTTACTCCTCCTCCTCCTCCTCCTCCTCCTCCTCCTCCTCCTCCTCCTCCTCCTCCCGTCTGCTTCCCTACTCCCTCTGAGGTCAACAGAAGCCCGGGCCGGCAGGGGCCCGGCCGCGAAGCCCGGCGGGGCCGCGCCGGGCCGGCGGAGGGCGGCCGTGGGGGAAGTGCAGAGGGGAGGGAGGAGGGAGGGAGGCGAAGGAGGAGGAGGCGAAGGAGGAGGAGGAGGAGGAGGAGGAGGAGGAGGAGGAGGAGGAGGAGGGGATGAGGGGATCGAGGTGGATCGTGGGGGAGGAGCGGAGCAGGTAGGAGGAGGAGGTGGAGGAGGAGGAGGCGGGGAGGAGGAGGAGGAGGAGGAGAGGAGGAGGGTAGTGGAGGAGGGAGGTGAGGGGAGGTGGCGGTAGGCGGAGGGCGGAGGCGGTGGCTGAGGCGGAGGCGGAGGCGGGAGCGGAGGGCGGAGGAAGGAGGAGGAGGAGGAGGAGCAGGAGGAGACGGAGGTGGAGAGGAGGAGGAGGAGGAGGGAAGGAGGAGGAGGAGGATCGAGGGAGAGCGAGGAGGGAGGATTCGAGGAGGATCGAGGGGAGGAGGAGGAGCAGGGAGGAGGAGAGGAGGAGGGAGGGAGGGAGGAGGAGGAGCAAGGGGGGAGGGAGGGAGTGAGGAGGAGGAGGAGGAGAGGAGTAGGAGGAGGAGGAGGGGAGGAGGAAGGAGGAGGAGGAGGAGGAGGAGGAGGGATGGGAGGAGGCGGAGGCGGCTGCGGTAGGCGGAGGCTGAGGAGGAGGCGGAGGAGGAGGAGGAGGAGGAGGAGGAGAAGGAGGAGGAGGACCGAAGAGGATCGAGGAGGATCGAGGAGCAGGAGGAGGAGGAGGAGAAGGAGGGAGGGAGGGAGGCTCGACCCCCGTCTCTTGAGCCCCGAGCGGCCTCCTCTGACGAGCAGGCCGGGGCCGGCGGGGGGCAGCGGCGGCGGAGCGGCCGCGGACGGCAGCCGGCCCCCCCCGCCCGCGCGCCTGCGCCCCGACGCGCCTGTCGACGCCGAGGAGAGCGGGCGGGCTCGGGGCCGCAGGGGCCGCGGCCTGCGGGCGGTGGCGGTAGAGCCAGGCAGGACCGGAGCCTCCTCCTCCTCCTCCTCCTCCCTCCTCCTCCTCCTCCTCCTCCTCCGTCCTCTCCTCCTCCTCCTCCTCCTCTCCTCCTCCTCCTCCTCCTCCTCGTCGTCCTCGTCGTCGTCCTCCTCGTCCTCTTCCTCCTCTTCCTCCTCTTCGTCGACGTCGTCCTCCTCGTCCTCGTCCTCGTCCCGATCCTCGTCCTCGTCCTCGTCCTCCTCCTAACTTACTCCTCCTCCTCCTCCTCCTCCTCCCGTCTGCTTCCCTACTCCCTCTGAGGTCAACAGAAGCCTCGGTGTACTACATGCACAGAAGAAGAGCATAATGTGAGAGATAGTGGAGCAGGAAAGAAGAAAGGTGGTTACTGCGGACCAGACCTCCCAGCCCAGTCCTGCGCGAACTCCCCCCGCCTGTGGCTGCTATAGCAAGGATCCAGTGGCGCGAAGAAAGGCTGGAGATCCTCTGGGAACCTGTCATGTAATCTCCAGTCGCGCGAGACTCCACGAGTAAAGTTCAGAAACCACCCGCTCCGCCAACAAGCGGCGCATCTCGGGGGGATACTGCTTGGATGCTGGTGTACGAAACATCCCACGAATCAAGCCCCTCGAGGCCCTATGTACCCAGATATTGGAGCACTTGCCTCCGCACGGGAGCCTCCGCTGAACCTCCCCCGCGCCTGGGACACGGATTGTCAAGAAACAAATCATTTTGGCGCTGGGTGCACCGAGTTCGCACTGATTGAAATCGAGCATCTCAGCACCAGCAAGTGCGCACACGGTGGCCACATCTGGGATCGCACGCCTGGACACACTGAAAAGAGGTTCGCAACAAAACATTCGACATGCCGAGCTGATTTCCCTCTTGGCTGCCTCGCATCATGATCGGCGAACCCCCAAAGGTACTCCAACCCCCCAAAGCACCCTAGGCCTCAGGATCCAAACTCTTCCTTGGGGGGTCTTCGACCAGACCCCCCCTGGAAAACCGCAGGCCTTGCCGAAAGGTCTCCTGCCACGGAGTCGTTTGCAACATCGATGCTCCTCCTCCTCCTCCTCATCCTCCTCAGCGAAATCGCTTGAGTGCGCAAACTAAGCGGCACAGGAGGTGCAAACAGAAACGGGGAAATAGAAGGCGGCCCACGAATGTAAAGAGTATTCGCGCTACAGGCGTCGGGAAGGAAATATCCTTCCCCCCATCCTACTACTTGCGCCATTCCCACCCAGGTCATGGCCCCCACCGAAAGACAGCACGGCAGTTGCAAAAACACGCCCTCAGCGAGGGATTATGTATAATCAAATGGCACCGCAGGCCCTCGCCGTGATCACCTCTTTAACCTCCAAGCCTCAAAGCCCCTTCTTCCTCCACGGCGGCGTCCAAACGGCGCCTGGTGCACGATGGCTGGGCTCGGCGCTATACTGGCAATGAATGAACGTGCCCTTTAATGAAAACCCTATCGTGACTAATCCTCCCCCGCCGCGAATCTGCAACAATTCTCCACCACCTCCTCTGCTTCATTGGCCTTGACGTTGGCCCGAACATGCGAGATGGAAAAAAAACAGTGTGCAGCCGGACGGATAGCTACGTGCCCAACGATGACTACTGTTGACGGCCCAATAACACGGCGGCCTCACCACCGTGGCAGACATCGTCCCCCCACCCCGCCTACTTCCACTACTCACCTCACCTCCCCAAGGCACCCCACGTCATAAGAGCCCTCACCGAGAGTCCGCGCAGCGAAAGAGAAGCTTGCGATGCCAGGTTGGCTTGAAGGGTGCACGGCTGGAACAGGCAAGTCGGCTGCTGAGGCCACTGCGCAGTCCACGGGGCGAAGTGAGCGGTCTTCTCCTCCTCCCTTCCTCCACCACCACCTGCTCCTGCATGTAGCATCTGTGAGTGCGCCCAAGGACGAAGCTCAACATGAGTTGCAGAGACAGCCCTGGAGTCCTGGTAGAGGAAAAAAAACTATGCACATACACCGATTCTGGCCAGGCCCATCCTGAGCCCCGGATTGGTGCATACGCCCTGCTACCTTGGCCAGGAAGGCATATGCACCGATCCTGGGTCAAGGATGGGCCTTGCCAGGATCGGTGCATGTGCATAGTTCTCTTCGCCCGATCCTGGGATGCCAGCTGCAGGTCACGCGTGGAGTAGTTCTCGGCTCCCCGCGGCTTCCCACGGCCCCGCCGCCGCCTCGACGGCCGAGCTGCGACAGCCAAAACAAGACAATGAGCACCTGAATCGTGACAAGTCCGACGCGTGCAGAGAGCTGAATCGTAGGTACTCATGATGAGTTGGACGCCCGAATTATCCGGGGTAACTCGGGTCCGGGGTAACTCGGGTTTGGGTTCCCGAAAAACGAACCCGAGTTAGCCCTGACCCGAATTACCCCTGATGATTCGGGGCTCTGGACGCCCGAGTTATCCGGGGTAACTCGGGTCCGGGGTAACTCGGGTTTGGATTCCCGAAAAACGAACCCGAGTTATCCCTGACCCGAGTTACCCCTGATGATTCGGGGCTCTGAATGAGAGTCATGGATGAAGCAGGTGATACTCGGCATTCGCAGCGCGCGTACCAGAAGTAGCCGCGATGAGAGCCTAGGCGTAGATTGCGCTATACCCTCCACGCCTCATCTCCCAACCCCACCCCCTTTCCAAGCGCGGGCCCCGGGCGAGCCCCGCGGGAACCCTTTGCGAGCCCCGCGTCCAATAGTGCTTTGCACCCGGCAATGGCAGCGGGTGGAAAATGCAGCGGGTGTTGCTTCTCTTGACGCGCGCGTACGTGCGAATGCGATGAAATTCAGAGATGAAGATGACGAGGATGAAATGCAGAAACCCGAAACGCCAAGAACTCACGGGCGTAATGTACAAGTCAAATTCGGAAAATGCTTATTGCATGTCACTCGCTGCATATACTTTGTTTTCCGCAGTAGAAGAGCAAGTCTGCTGTGGCGTAGTATCTCAACATGCTTCTAGGCGAAACTGACAAGCGGCGCTCGTCAACTCATTCGGCATTGCGTCTATCGTGCTGATCGGGGATGACACTTCCAAGATGTTTCAAGCTATGCGAGTCGGCAAACTGCCCCGTAAGATATAGCATTATCCCTGTCAGTGTCAGGCGCGTGTCTATCAAAAGTTGGTGAGCTAGAAACCAAATGAGCGGGCAATCTTTGTTCGGGAAGGGCTTGGTCGGGAAATGTTTGCGCAATGTGTGCGCCAACTGCGTGCTACCGCTGATGCCTGCGAGAAAAATATGAAACACTGCTACGGGCATTCCTTTGTCAAGTGATCGCGCCCTCTTCTTGTCTCCAAGCCAAATCCAACTGAGGTATCAACATTACTTACTTCACCAGGACGTTGAGCTGTCGAAACCGTGATTGCTGTATGAGTAGCAACAGATACAGAATTATTGTCAAACTGTTCGCCTGAGCGCGCGCGACGGCACTTACAGTTAGTGTCAGTCGTCATCCATGCAAGCTTTGATAAACAACGAAGCTGCATGCGCTCTTCCATCGCCCATGTCGTGCCATTCGCGTCAGTGTCAATGGCGTACCGCTGTTTGATCGAAAGAGGTGGCGTGGTCGTGTGTGGTTTCGTCAGGAGGGCTGGGACCAAGGTTCCCAAAACATCTATATCGACACCACGCGAGGCGGCGGGCAGTGACTTAGCATTGATTGACACCACATTCGCGCCTGGTATGATGGTATGCGAAGTCAATCGCTTGGCGTGTCAACAATCGGATGGGTATGTGTTCATTTGAACATGTGTAACTGCATGCTGATAGAACTGCAGCTGAGAAAGACCAACAATATTTTTTAACGAAATACCTTCGCGCCATTCAGTGAATGCACAAAGAGAGCCGTTCAAGTAATTACTGTGCATCGCGCTGTACCTTCATAATGTGAACAGTCGATGTCGCTTCCTTCGATTTTTCGACTTTCAATCAACGTGACTGCGCTGCCGCTGAAGGTCATCATGATAGAGATGCTGCGAGCAATGATTGCACAGCTGGGTATACTGATGCTGCAAGCCGTCGCACGATTGCCTGAGAGAGAGAGAGAGAGAGAGAGAGCGAAGGACAACGAAGAAAGCATCATGGGTATGTACGTTACGCGATCGTGATCGACCGAACGGAGGGAAAGTTCGAAAGATCGTGGGTGCCAGTGGAGGGCACCGCGCGTAGCGTCTGACACGCCACAATCGCTTGGCGCTTAGAAACCTCCTCCTCCTCCTCATTCTCCTCCTCCCTTCCCTCCCCATTTCCTCTCCCCGCTCCTCTTCATCCACCTCCTTTCCTCGGGCTCAGCAGACAGCAGACCCGGCTTGGCCTGACGGGGCTGCCAAGGAATTGACGAGATCCAGGCTACTGGACCAGACGGGGTCGTGAGCAAAAATTGCCCGCGAACTCCCGCTGCGAACGTCCTACGAAAACTGGACAGTCAAAGTTCAGGACAGGCCCGTCAAAAAGCGTTTGCAGACCTGAAGCCCTGGCGAACTCGAAGCTCACGTTTTCCCACCTCTTCGTATGCGGTGATCTGCTGACCCCGATCAATCCAAACCCGAATGAGCCAGGCCCTGCAGGATCCCGCATGATCCTGCAGGATTCTGCACCCAAGCCTGGGTGAGTGCACCCCTGGCTCTGCAGGATCCTGCACAGCCCGGCGCGCTGACTGGCCGCCGTTTGCATCGACCCCCGTCTCAAGGTTCCCGACATTCCCGCTCCACCCCGTTCCCTCTTCTGGCACCCGCTGCGCGCGGGGAAGGGGGAAGGGGGCCGGGAAGGGGGGGGGCTGTCGGCCCGCATCGCCGGTCACTTGGCGATCGGGGTTCGATGCGTCATCCCCCCTTCCCTAGGGAACGAGAAGTGACACACACACACACACCACACACACACACACACACACACACACACACACACACACACACACACACACACACACACACACACACACACACACACACACACACACACACACACACACACACACACACCACACACACACACACACACACACACACACACACACACACACACACACACACACACACACACACACACACACACACACACACCACACACACACACACCACACACACACACACACACACAACACACACACACACACACACACACACACACCACACACACACACACACACACACACACACACACACAACACACACACACACCACACACACACACACACACACACCACAACACAACACACACACACACACACACACACACACACACACACACACACACAACACACACACACACACAACACACACACACACACACACACACACACACACACACACACACACACACACACACACACACACACACACACACACACACACACACACACACACACCACACACACACACACACACACACACACACACACACACACACACACACACACACACACACACACACACACACAACACACACACACACACACACACACCAACACACACCACACACACACACACCACACACACACACACACACACACACACACACACACACACACACACACACACACACACACACACACACACAACACACACACACACACACACACACACTCTCATCAAAACTCGGAGGTCCGCGCGGATTTCTCGGATCGGCGCTGGGGCCCCCGGCGGCGCCTCCGGCGCCGCCCTGGCGCGCTCCGCGCCAGGGAGGGGGGTCCAGCGCCGATCCGAGAAATCGGCGCGGACCTCCGAGTTTTTAGGTTTGTGTCACTCTTCGTTCCACTATTCCCCCCCCCCCGAGCCTGTTGCCACCCCCCACGTGGCCCCGGACCCTCGCCGACTCCATGTCCTCTCGCTGCTCCCCCCGTCCCTCCCTCCCCTCTCCAACTAGGAACTAGGAGGCCTTGGCTGGGTGTCCAGAAACCGTGTGGTGACAGACCCGGCGGTGACCTCGAAATCCGCAAAGACCTCACCACACGGTCCGTCACCACACGGTTTTGGGACCCTGGAGGCTCCAGTCGCCCGAGACATCCTCGGAGAACGACCCAAGTCCCAAAACCGTGCAGTGACCCCGAATCCCCACCGACTCACCACACGGTGTGGTCACCACCCCGTTGAGGAGCCCCCGACTTGGGGGGGGGGGGAGCCGCGCTGCCGGAGAGCCACTCGTGGAGGCCAGCCGAGGCCTCCAGGGGCCCGATGCTCGAGGACCGACGGTGCTCTCACAAGCCTCCCCGACGCCCTTCCAGCCTCGACCCCCTCGAGCCTGGATGCCCTCCTCCTCCTCCATCCTCCTCCTCCTCCTCCTCCTCCTCCTCCATCCTCCTCCTCCTCCTCCTCCTCGGTCCTCCTCCTCTTCGATCCTCCTCCTCTTCGATCCTCCTCCTCTTCTCCTCCTCCTCCTCCTCCTCCTCCTCCTCCTCCTCCTCCTCTCCTCTCCTCCTCCTCCTCGATCTCCTCCTCCTCGATCCCTCCTCCTCCTCCCTCCTCCTCCTCCTCCTCCTCCTCCTCCTCCTCCTCCTCGATCCTCCTCCTCCTCCTCCTCCTGCTCCTCCTCGACCCGTCGATCCTCGACCCTCCCCGCCTCCTCTGCCTCCCCCGCCTCCGAGAGAGGCTCCCCGAGGAGCGCCCCCCCACCAGCGGGCGCCTCGCGGGCCCGGGCCGGCGGGGCGGCGCCGCGGAGGATGCCCGACCTCAGGGCGCCGTCGCGCGCGCGCCGCGCGCGTCGCCCCGCCGCCGCCGCCGCCGCGGTGTCCTCCTCCTCCTCTCCTCCTCCTCCTCCTCCTCCTCGATCCTCCTCCTCCCTCCTCCTCCTCCTCCTCCTCCTCCTCGATCCTCCTCGATCCTCCTCCTCCTCCTCTCCTCTTCGATCCTCCTCCTCCTCCTCCTCCTCCTCCTCCTCCTCCTCCTCCGTCGTTTCGTCGTCGTTGTGCTCGCTGTCGTCGTCGGCCGCGGCGGACGACGCCGTCGCCGCCGTCGTGCTCGCCGTTGCCGCTGTCGCCGCCGCCGTTGTGGTGTTCGTCGTCGTCGCCGCCGCCGTCGGCTCCCTGCTCCACCCCATCCCCCAGTGCACCCCGTTCAATATCGTTCCATGCCTCCTGGTCCTCCCCCCGGTTCTCTCTGGTTTCATGTACTGAACTCGCGATGGCAGCGCCCGCTTTGCCGCTTCGACCGCGCTGAGCGACTGCGCCGAGCGACCGCGCCGAGCGACCGCGCTGAGCGCTGCGGCCAAACCGTCCTCTCCCTCTCTCTCTCTCTCTGCCTTCTCCCTCTACCTCCTGATCCGTGTCCTAACCCCTTCTCCCTCTGGCCCTCCCTCGTCTCCTCCCCGAGGGGCAACGCTGGGGGGACCGGCTCCGGGCGGGAAGCATCGACCTGGCATCGGCGAAGCATCACCGACGGATCGGCGCGGGCGGCGTGGGGCTGTCGGCCCGCATCGCCGATCACTTGGCGACTGGAGGTCGATGCGTCATCCCCCTCCCCCCCCCGAGCTGCCCCCCCCCCCCCCCCCACGTGGCCCTGGACCCTCGCCGACCCCATCTCCTCTCGCTGCTCCCCCAGGAGAGCCCAGAATCGAATCGACAAGTCGAATCGGCGATCGAAATGAATCGGATCGGCAGAAATCGGCAGCCGAGTCGGAAAAGGTCGAGTCGGCGGAAATCGGCAGGCTAATAGGCCTCCAATGAGAAATCGGAACCTACATCGGAATCCCAAGTCGAATCGAATCGGAATCGGGATCCATCGAAATCGAATTGAATCGAATCCGAGGAATCGAAACGGGCCCTGCTCCCCCCGTCCCCTCCCTCCCTCCCCGCCTCTCCTTCTCCGCCCGCCTCACCCGCCCCTCTCCAACTCGGAACTAGGAGGCCTTGGAGGGGGGGGGGGAGCCGCGCTGCCGGAGAGCCACTCGTGGAGGCCAGCCGAGGCCTCCAGGGGCCCGATGCTCGAGGACCGACGGTGCTCTCACAAGCCCCCCCGACGCCCTTCGAGCCTCGACCCCCTCGAGCCTGGATGCCCTCCTCCTCCTCCTCCTCCTTCTCCTCCTTCTCCTCCTCGATCCTCCTCCTCCTCCTCCTCGATCCTCCTCCTCTTCGATCCTCCTCCTCCTCTTCGATCCTCCTCCTCCTCCTCCTCCTCTTCCTCGATCCTCCTCGACCCTCCATCCTCCTCGACCCTCGAACGAGGGGCATCCAGAAATCTCCGCGATCCTCGCCCCCCAGGAGGAGGAGGCGGAGGAGGAGGAGGAGGAAGAGGAGGAGGAGGAGGAGGAGAAGGAGGAGGGAGGAGGGATAGGGAGGAGGAGCCATTCTCCAGGTCGGCGATCCTTGCCCCGCTCTCGCAGAGGCCCCCCCCCCTGCGGGCGCGAGCAGGGGCCCCGGCACGCCCAGCAACCCCGTCGGTCCTCTCGACCTCCTCCTCCTCCTCCTGCATCTCCTCGTCCTCCTCCTCCTCCATCTCGATCCTCGATTCTCCTCCATCTCGATCCTCGATCCTCCTCCTCCTCCTCTTCTCCTCCTCCTCCTCCTCCTCCTCGATCTCGATCCTCGATCTCCTCCTCCGCCTCCTCCTCCTCGTCGACGGCGGTGTTTCCTGCCTCGACGTCCTCTGAGGGGTGCCAACTTTACACCCGCACCGATATTCATATTCCCCTTTGATTGTTCCTCTCTCTCTTTCTCTCGCTCTCTCCCACTCTCCCTTTGTCTCTCTTTTGCTTATTGCTAGATCTATCTCTCTCACACGATATCTCTCCTTCTCTATGTACATACATGCATGTCTGTATCTACATTCCTTCTCGGATATTCTTACAATGAGCCCGCCCTGCACATGAATTCAGCCCTGAGCGCTTCCACCAACGTGAGATTCGAATTCTCGGTTTCGTGATCCCTCCAGGCCATCCTACGCCGCCCGAGCGGGCGCAGGATCGCTTCCCAGACGGTCCCGCGGAGCCCCGAAACGGCCCAAGACCGCTCCAGAACGGCCCATGAGCGCGCAAAGAGGGTCCCGAGGTGGCTCCAAGACGGCCCAAGAGGCCCCCAAGACGTCTCAAGAGGCACCCTAGCCCACCCCCCCGACGCAAAATCGCCCCATTCCCTTCGGAAAAACGTACATGTTCAACATATTTCCCTGTTTGGTCTCCACGTCGTCCACGACGGCTTAAACGACCCCAAATATCGCCCCAGGACGGCCCATAAATTCACCAATAGGGTCCCACGACGGCCCGAAAGCCTCCAAGACGGCCCCAGACTGGCCCCAGTGGGTCTCAAATGGCTCCCAGGAGAGCCCCAAGAAGGCCACACAGGAGGCCCTCAAGAGGGCTCAAGAGGGTCCCAAGAAATCCCTAGGACGGCCCACTTCCCCCAAGACAGTCCCGAGACGGCTCAGGAAGGCCGCCAAACGGCCCACAAGAGACCCAAAAGGATCCCAGCGAAGGCCATGAGAGGCCACATTCATCACTTGTAGCGATGCTTGTGGTAGATGTTCTGAATCACGTGCGAAAATCTTAACACCAACACGCTCTCAAACCCTGAGCGCGCGATCTCGCGCCCTCACAGAGTACGAGCTGCGCAACCGGCTTTCAAGTAGGCCCCGAGACGGCCCAAAAAGGCCGCGAAACTGCCCTCAAGGCCCCGCAAGACGGGTTCAAATGGCGCTATGAGCCGTTCGAGCCCTACGAGCCCTCTGAGGCCTATGATCCCTATGCACCCCCCGAGACCCCAAAGCCCCAAAACACTCTGAGGTCCTTGAGTTTTACGGGCCCATGAATCCAATGAACTCCTGAGCCCTACGGCTCCTATGAGCGCCCGACAACGGTACGAGCCCTTCGAGCCTTGCGAACCCTACGACTCCTATCAGCGCCACGAACCCTCAGAGCCCCTACCAGCCTCATCTGCCCTATGACGCCTACGAGCCCAGTGCGCCGTGCGACTCTATGCTCCTAACGACCTCATACGCCCTATCATCCTTATCAGCTAATGGCCCTACGACACTTCCCAACCCAGTCATCCCCACGATCCTGAAGGGGCCCTGGGACACACAAATAAATACACACAAATAACAGGATTCCCCATGTTGTCCCATATTTTCTGCGTTTTTGTCTTCCCCCCCACTTCCCATATTTTCTTATATTTTCCGGGGGATCGACGATTAATTGTGTCTGTGTGTTTCTTCCCCTCCTGAGATCCCAATGAGCCCGACGAGCCCTGTGAGCCCTGCGGGCCCGGTGGGCCCTATGTCGCTTCTGGGCCTCGGAAGGCCTACGAGCCCTACGAGCCCCATCAGCCTCTGGCCATCGCTCGCACGTCCATTCCCTGTGCTTTTTTCGGTTTCGTGCGTGGCTTTTTCGCGAAATGATTAAGGATGCTCCTCGATGGTCCTCGCCGAAGGAAAAATGCACACGTCCGAGCGATGCCGAGGCCCTATCAGCCTCATTGGCCCACGGCCCGCGAGACCCCTGAGAGCCTCAGGAGCCCTGTGAGCCCTGTAGCACCGTCGGCCCTGTGGTCCTTGTGACCCCGACGACCCGTTCTGAACTTCATGGGCCTCCTGGGCACAATCACCACAAGGATCCGCATGAATCCCATGAACCTCACAAAACGTATGAGCCGACACGCTCCACGGGGCCCAAGAACGAGTAGCTTCTGTGAGACCACGGACCCTACGAGCCTCCACGCCCCATGAGCTCATCAACCCGAAGAACCCTCTGAACTCAAGAGCGGCTGCGGGCTCTCGGACCCCCATGATCCCCAAGAGCCGCGCTGCCCGAAATACCCCTCTTCCACATTCGCGCTCCGAGCTTTGGGGCCCCAATGGCGGCGGAAAGCCCTTCAGACCGCTGACCCAGAAGAGCCCATGGGTCGTATCAGCCCTGTGTGCCCCAAACGCCCCCCTTGCCGAAACACACACCGCGGTGCTGGCGACGACCAGTCGCGACGCGGCTCGCTGGCGCCGTGCGACCAAGATCTTGAAGGCGAAGCGAAGCGAGCCAGTGGAATCTTGTGTATATACATGAATATATATATATATATATTTACAAATATAGAGAGATAGATAAGCCTGATATTTCTGTCTCTGTCACTCCTGCTGCATCTGTCTCTGTCTCTCTCCCCCTCTCTCTCTCCCTCCCTTACCCTCGCTCTCTCTCTCTCTCTCTCCTTCTTTCACGCACGGGCAGTGCGTCGACCACGCGCCCCGCCCGCCAGGCGGCCCACTCCGCGCCCCGAACCCCTCGAGTCCGCCGCTGGAGCCGCTGCCGCCTCCGCCGGTGGGCCCCGCTCGCGCGCGGCCCTGCGCCCCTCCCGCCACGCTCCGGTTAGTCTCAGCGGTGAGTCTCAATGACAGGGGGGGGGGCTGGCTCAGG